CGACTAGAGAAAAATAACAAAATTTTTCTAAGTTAAAAATTGAATCTCTAGGTGACTAGTCGTCAAAATACCGATTAATAAAATAACAATTTTTCCAACTTAAAAATGAATCTCAAGGCAACTAGTCGTCCAAATACCGACTAGAGAAAAATAACAAAATTTTTCTAAGTTAAAAATTGAATCTCCAGGTGACTAGTCGTCCAAATACCGACTAGAGAGAATACCAGAATTTTTTCCAACTTAAAAATGAATCTCAAGGTAACTAGTCGTCCAAATACCGACTAGAGAAAAAATAACAAAATTTTTCTAAGTTAAAAATTGAATCTCCATGTGACTAGTCGTCAAAATACCGATTAATAAAATAACAATTTTTCTAAGTTAAAAATGAATCTCAGGGTAACTAGTCGTCCAAATACCGACTAGAGAAAAAATAACAAAATTTTTCTAAGTTAAAAATTGAATCTCCAGGTGACTAGTCGTCAAAATACCGACTAGCAAAATTTTTCTAAGTTGAAAATGAATCTCAAGGTATCTAGTCGTCCAAATACCGACTAGAAAGAATACGAGTATTTTCCGTTAACATTTGAAAATCAATGCAACCAGTCGTCCAGATCCTGACTACTAAAATGACGAATATTCTCCGTTAATCATTTGAAAATCAATGCAACCAGTCGCCCAATTACCGACTGGAAAAATAACTGATTTTTTCTGTCGTCCAAAAATCGACTAGGAAATGGAAAAAAAATTTCAGTTAAAAAGTGAAATTCAAGGCACCTAGTCGTCCAGATACCGACGAGAAAATACCAAAAATTTTCTAGTTAAAATTTTATCTCAAGGCCGAAGTCGTCCAAATACCGACTTTAGTAAAGGAAGATGTTATAAGATCAAAAGTGAACTTTGGCCATAATATCGGCCCAATCCCGATCATAGTAAGGAGATTAAAAAGAACTTTAATGTAAATAATCGTCTAGCTACCGACTTGAAACAAAGCAACGATTTTTCCGTTAAAAATTTGAATTTTGACGGAACCAGTCGGCCGAATGCCGTCTTGATGGAACTGGTAGTCAAAATTCCGACTTCACATATTTAAGTGAAAAACACTTGATCAGTTGGATTCCGATCTTCTTTCCCTACTAATTGCTTGACTGGGAATGAAACAACATTTAGCCTAGTGAAAGAATCAAATTTTCTTGCATGAAGGAGTCGCCTAAAATCCGACTATATTAAATGTTGTCATCCGTCGTGTTGACTGTTTCTCGATTTGATTTGGGAGTTTTTGGTCTTCGAGTTTTTTATACTCGTCTAGTCGGATTTTGACCGACAATCACGAGTTTGGTCTTCGAGTTATTTATACTCGCCCTGTCGAACTTTTGTCGATAATCACGAGTTTTGTCTTCGAGTTATTTATACTCGCCCAGTCGGACTTTTGCCGACAATGACGAGTTTTGTCTTCGAGTTATTTATACTCGCCCAGTCGGACTTTTGCCGACAATCACGAGTTTTGTCTTCGAGTTATTTATACTCGCCCAGTCGGACTTTTGCCGACAATCACGAGTTTTGTCTTCGAGTTATTTATACTCGCCCAGTCGGACTTTTGCCGACAATCACGAGTTTTGTGCCTTTAAAATAAGACATGTTAGGAGTCAATAAAAGAGAGCAATGAGATGACATTTATTAGGATTGAAAAGGTGGTGCCTCGTTAAAAACCTTCTCAGCAAAACCCCCTCATATTTTTACAGGGACAAAATACTGAGTTAGGAAAAGAGTGCACCTAATACAAATGGATAAACGGACTAGCTATAGTAAAAGCGCAAATTTGCAGCGTTCCACGTCCTTGGTATCATCCCTCCATCCAAGGTCCTGAGTCGGTAAGCTCCTTTGCCGACCACATCATCAATTTTATACGGGCCGACCCATTTCGGTGACAACTTGTTCCTCATTTGTGTTAGCTGAGCACGCTTCAAAACGAGGTCTCCTACAACGAAGTCTCTTCGAACGACCTTTGTGTTGTACTTGAAAGCTGCTCTTCTCTGGGCTGCTACTTGATTTATCTTTGCTCTCTCTCTCGTCTCGGCGATCAAGTCCAAGTCAACTCGCCTTCCCTGGTCGGATTCCGCTTCAGAAAAAGATGTGGTGCGTACGGAGGGCTCTATGATTTCAATCGGGATCATGGCGTCTGTTCCGTACACTAAATTGAATGGAGTGTCTTGAGTCGACGAATGAACGGTTGTGTGGTATGACCATAACACCCGGGGAAGCTCCTCTACCCATGAAGCGCCTGAGTCTTGGACGCGCTTCTTCAAACTCGAGAGTATGACCTTGTTTGCCGACTCAGCTTGACCGTTAGATTGAGGGTGCTTGACAGAGGTGAATGTCATTCGGATGCCGATCTGCCTGTAAAAGTCGCGAACTCTCGCGCTTGCAAATTGTGTCCCATTGTCAGAAACTAGTACTTGGGGAACGCCAAACCTGCACACCACATTCTTCCATAGAAACGCTCTAACCTTCTCTGCCGAGATGGTTGCTACAGGCTCTGCCTCAATCCATTTGCTAAAGTAGTCCACAGCCACTATCAAGAATTTTAACTGTCTCACAGCAATCGGAAATGGACCGAGAATATCAATACCCCATTTGTTGAATGGCCAAGGAGACAGGATCGAGCGGAGTCGTTCAGCCGGGGAATGGTGCAGAGTTGCATGCCTTTGACATCCATCACATTTCTGAACCCAATTGACGCAGTCATTCCTCAGACTCGGCCAAAAGTAACCTGCCCTTGCCACTTTGTACACCAGAGCTCGTCCCCCGATATGGCTTCCACACATTCCGCTATGCACTTCGTCCATCACTCTTTGCGCTTGTGACGTGGTCAAACACCTTAAGAGGGGAGAGCTAAAGCCTCTTCGATATAATCTTTCATTGATGATTACGAACCTGGCCGACTCTCTCTGTATCAGTGACGCCTCCTTCTTATCCTCTGGCAACTCCCCCCGAGTCAAGTATGCAATGTACGGTCCCATCCATGAATCGAGCTCTTCTTGGATGAAAAGAACATTCCCCTGTGGAGTGTTGATGCTCGACTGAGTCAATGTTTCCTGGATGACTGACCGAGTGGCTCCTGGCTTCTTTGTGCTTGCAAGCTTTGAGAGCAGATCGGCTCGTGAATTTTGCTCTCGTGGAACGTAGTTAAGCGTGAACTCTCGGAAATTCTCCGATAGAAGTTTAACTTTTTCCAAGTACTTAGCCAGTTGAGGGTCCTTTGCTTGGAAAGTGCCTGCTACCTGCCCCGTGATCAATTGAGAGTCGCTTCGTGCTGACAGCCTCGCCGCCCCCATTTCCTTCGCCAATGCCATGCCAGCCAACAACGCCTCATATTCGGCCTGGTTATTGCTTGCTCAGAATTCGAAGCGCAACGACTGTTCCAACAAAACTCCTCCCGGTCCTTCCAAGACGATCCCTGCTCCACTTCCTCCAAGGTTCGATGCTCCATCCACTGACAAGATCCACTGTGTCTCTCCGACCTCACCCTCGTCGGCGGGCGCGGTCAACTCCATTATGAAGTCGGCTAGTGCTTGAGCTTTGATTGCTCCTCTCGGCTCATACTTGATGGAATGCTCTGATAGCTCTATAGACCACTTCATCATCCTTCCTGCCAGGTCGGGCTTCTGTAGTACTTGTCTAATCGGATGGTCAGTACGGACTATCACTTCATAACTCTGGAAATAGTGTCTTAACTTCCGCGTTGTAACCAGTATTGCAAGAGCCAGTTTCTCGATCTTCTGATACCTTGTTTCTGCGCCTTGTAGGACCCGACTCACGAAGTATACCGGAACTTGGGTGCTTTCCGGCTCTTGAACCAGTACTGCACTGATTGCTCGGTCGGATGCCAATATGTAAATCAATAGGGGAAGATTCAGCCGCGGTTTAGTCAGGATCAGCGGCGATGCTAGCGATTTCTTTAGTTCTGTGAAGGCTTCCTCGCACTCGTTTGTCCAGGCGAATCGGTCGTTCTTCTTTAAGCATTGGAATAGCGGCAACGCCTTGTCGGCTGACTTGGACAGGAAACGAGATAATGAAGCCATCCTCCCCGCGAGCTGCTGCACCTCCTTCACCGTGGAAGGACTCCTCATGTTGATGATTGCCGAGCACTTCTCAGGATTTGCCTCGATGCCGCGATGAGTTAGCAAGAAACCGAGGAATTTTCCTGCTTGGACTCCAAAAGAACATTTCTCGGGGTTCAACTTGAGCTGGTATTTTCCTATGGTTTCAAATAGCTCCTTCCAGTCGTCTAAATGCCGATCCAAACTCATTGACTTTAACACCATGTCGTCTACGTAAGCCTCCCCATTCCTACCCAGCTGGTCCACCAACACCTTGTCCATCAAACGCTGATACGTTGCACCTGCATTCTTCAAACCAAAAGGCATTACCTTGTAGCAATAATTGGCCTGGTCGGCAATGAACGCGGTTTTATCCTCATCGGCTGGGTGCATTCGGATCTGATTGTAACCGGAATACGCGTCCATGAAACTTAGCAGCTTGTACCCCGACGCACCATCAACGAGGCAGTCTATATTCGGCAGAGGGTACGAATCTTTCGGGCATGCCTTATTTAAGTCAGTGAAATCTGTGCACATTCTCCACTTTCAACTGCTTTTACGTACCATCACGACATTTGCAAGCCAGGTCGGGTACTGTACTTCTCGTATGAACCCCGCCGTCAGTAACTTGTCGGTCTCTTCAGCAATGGCTTTACGCTTGTCGTCGCCAAACTTCCTCCTCTTCTGGATAACTGGCTTCGCACGTGGATCAATGGCTAGCTTGTGGCACATGAAATCGGGGTCCACTCCTGGCATATCTTTGACATGCCACGCGAATGCCGACATGTTCGCTTTCAATACTTCAACCAATTTCTCTGCGCCCTCCTGGCTCAGGGACGTACCGACCTTTACTTTCTTTTCTTCCGCCAACGTCACTTCCTTAATGTCCTCGACAGGGACTGGTCAGCGATCAAAATGGCTCACTCTAGGGTCTAGATCGATGGAGTGGACCTCCTGCTCGACCTGCGCGGTATATAGTCGCCTTCGTGCTTTTAAACTATCACCGTAGCACTTCCGAGCAACCTCCTGATCCACTCTGAGAGTCCCCATAGAACCGCTCGGCAACAGGTACTTTACCTTCAGATGGGGAGTAGACACTACCGCTCCTAGTTTGTTCAGGGTCGGTCTGCCGATCAGTATGCTGTAGGATGACTGAGCATTAACCACCAAATACCGAACGGCCACCGTCTTCAGCCGAGCCGCCTGGCCGAAGGTCGTCTCCAGATCAGCATATCCCCTTGCTATGACCTGGTCTCCTGCAAAACCCACTAGAGTTCCTGCATAAGGAATTAGTCGGTCGTTAGGTATTTTCATTCCCTCAAAAGTTTCCCAGAATAAAATATCCGCGGAACTTCCCTGGTCGATCAACACACGCTTCACATTGTATCCCATGACAATCGCCGATACAACGACGGGGTCATCCTCATGAGGAGCTACTCCTTCGTAATCCGAGTCTGAGAATGAAATCTCAGGCTGGGGTGGTCGCCTGAATTCCGATACAGTTAACACCGACCGAGAGTACCTCTTTCGGGCAGCGGAGGTAGGTCCCCCACCGGCAAAGCCCCCTGCTACGGTATTGAAATCCCCATGGATGGGCTGCTGATGGGTTTCTAACACCTTTGCTGGTGTGTCTCTAGGGGGAGATCTCTCCCTACGCCTATCCCTCCTGGTGTCATCCTGCATGCGCCTGGATCGCCTATCCGACGAACTTCCCTCCTGCTTTCTTGCCACAAACTCCTTCAATCGTCCCTCCTTGATCAAGCACTCAATCTGCCTCCCCAAGACGAAGCAATTTTCAGTAGAGTGCCCGTGAGCCATATGGAACTCACACCAATCGATTTTGAAGGGCCCCAACTGACGCTCCGTCGCCGCCGGAAACTCGAACAATGATGCGCTGTTGACATCGTGGAGTATCTGTTGCCTGGGAACAGTGAGTGGAGTAAACTTCTCTTCTTCATTGTTGCGCATCCACTCGCCCCTTGACCGACCACCATGATCGGCCTGCCTGTAATTGCCCTCCTTCACGTTGTATCGGTCACGTCGTTTACTCCAGTCTGATCACAGTCGAAGGTGCTTATTTCCCTCCTTATTGCTGCCCCCTACTTCTCGGTTCTTAGCTGCCCTTTTAATAATCTGGTTCTCCTCCGTCTTAATGTGGCTCAAGGTGAAAGCCCATACTTTCGACATCGTTTGACAGTTCGCCCTTTCGAGCGTAATGTCGAAGGCTCCAGACCTCAAACCTTTCTGAAATGCGATGACCGCCATCCTCTCGTCCAACGACGCTATCCTCAAGGCGACCTCGTTGAACCTTTGTAGGAAATCTTTCAGAGACTCCTCGCGTTGTTGTTTGAGGTCAAACAAATCCGACGTGATCGGCAGCTTCTTTTTGTTAGCGGCGAACTGCGCCATGAAGAGTCGGCTAAATACATCAAAGTCGGTGATCGATCGATCCGGAAGACTGCTAAACCAGTCGAGCGCCGCCTTCTTGAGTGTGCCCATGAACAACTTGCAGCGGACTTCCTTGCTCCCTCGACAAATTAAAATTTTAGCCCGGAAGTCCGTCAAATGCTGACTGGGGTCCTGCGTTCCATCAAAGGGTTCGACCTGTGGTATCCGATGATCCCTAGGGATCATCTCAGCCTCTACGGCTTCCGAGAATGGTCGAAAGTCTCTAGGGACCTCCAGGATGATGTCCTCCTCCACAGTCCTGGTACTAGCTGCTATTCTGGCCTACATCTCATCCGCTCGTCTCCTGATCTCCTCGTTTTCTCGTTGAATGGCCTCCTCTCTCTCCCTGGATCACGCATTCTCCTCCCTTAAGCCATTGATCATGGCCATCATCTCCTCCATGGTTGGTGGTTGCGAGTTGTTGTTGTTGTTGCCGCCTCTCGCCATGGTAAAGTGTAGGTTTTTTGTGTTTCTTGGGGCATAGGAAAAGTTTCACCGTAACCCCACGGTGGGCGCCAAAATGTTCTGGCCAAAGGGTGGACTAGGGTTTTTTCCTAGATCGTGCCTTAGAGCCAGAGCATTCAAAAGTGTAATCTGCCATCCTAACTCTATGGTTTTAGATTATATAGTCTTCTTGCTTATAGGCCTCGCGGGCCCCGGGAATACAGGGATTTCCTTAATCGCTCTTATCCATAAAACAACTGATGAGCAAGGGTGGGGTTTTTCCCTTGCCACGGGATGGTATCGATATAAGGGGTAGGGCTCGGCTTCCTACCGACTAGGACCACTTGGGGGACCTAGTCAGTAATTTACCGAGTAGGTTCTTAGACAAGTGGGATTAATGTGGGGTCGGCCAGGCTCACGCGAGGGGAATAGTCAGTCATAGACCGAGTACCCCTAAAAGAGGGGGTCGGCGTAGGTTCTAATCAGTCTGCTATATATGGTGGAGTCAGGTCGGGTCACGTTGACCAGTCGGGTTCTGACCGGGATGGTCCACTAGCCTTCTAGCCTTGAGCCTATAAGGCGGAAAGGCTTGAAATGTGGCCCTTGTAGACATGTCGGGAATGGGGATATACGCCTGTCGCCTCGATTCCTAGTCCCTTGGGACTCGGCAGGCTTCCCACTGGGATGTTTCGTGGGTTTATAGTCGGTCCTGTGCGCGCAGGGAGCGTCAGTCGGACTGCAACTGGGACGGTCCAGTTTTAATCTAAAACCAAGAGATATATTTATGATCACAAAAGGACCAAAATCCACATAATATATAAATAACCAAATAACAAATTTGTAACGTGCATAGTTTTTCTAATGTACAAAATGAAAAATAACTTCCCAACAAAATAGTAAAATAAGACTTGGTCAAATATGTTAAAAGGATTAAATAAAAAAATTAAAAATACAATTATTTAATCTATTAAAACATTAATTAAAAATAATTAAAAATATATTAAAACATAAAACTGATTTAATAAAACACCATAACAAAAAAAGTAATTAAATAAAATCATTTAATGAGGTTTTAAATTATAATAAAATTCTTCAACACTAATTATATTATAATAACCTCCATCAAAACACACTATTTTTTGCATGACATAACATTTTACTCACCCTTCAACCTAATCTTATTCTACTCTTATAATAAAATGATCATTGCAAATCAACAACATAGAAAAGTAAAAATAAACTTGTATGAAAAGAAAATAACATATAATATAGAGCAATCAACTAACTATATAAGCATCTTCATAAAGTGAATGTAGTTCAACATCTTTACATCTTATATCGATATTCCAACTTTACAACACAACAACACATTATTCAACTTAACAACATATCATCACATCAACATAACAACACAATAACTTTATAACACACATTTATGTGTGTCTTCACACATTTCAACTAAGAGATCTCTTACAAGACAAGTGAGTAGTTAAGTGACTTGACCCTACTGAATCAACAACACAAAAGACTCATAATATCTAGGTCATACAACACAATTTTGGATATCAATTTAATATCTAGGCAACAATGATTTCTCAAATTTTGTCACTTAAACCAAAAAAGTTTGGTATCACGTCAAATATAGTATGACTTGGGTGTGAGTCCACAACAATATTGACATGCATTAACCAAGTCACATGTAGGTTTAGTTCGCTGACTATTATCTCGATACCACGCACCTTTCTAGTAATCAGTTAAGGATTTTATCCATCAACTTTATACCTTACTCAATTTGGTCACTTCTAAACCAATCTTACCTTGGCCCTATACGATCTCAACTGAGGACTTCTAAGAGACTCAACACTTTAAGAGGTAACTTACTTAAGAATGATTTTTCAACATTGGACTCTTAGAGCACCACAACACATACTCATACAATGGGACATTCCAACTTTCAATAATAACAATTTCTCCTCTATTTCTAAGTTCACAACATAGTTCAACATCATGCATCTTATCAATATGATTCAACTCAACACACAACTTACAACATTGGAACGTCATATAATTCAACTTAAACAATTTAACATACTTCACTTTCAACTTTCTACAACATGATTCATCAATCATAGCAACACAATACAACACAATTTCATAAATGTTCAACTTATCATCTCAACATATCATATAAAATCACTAAGCATAAAAAGTCATGAAACATGGCTTTTGTTGGGCAAGGGTGCTCTCGCTGGGAGAGCTAAGCCGATGGAAATCTAATTCCTAAGGATCCCTTTGGAAGAAATAATACCAAGGAAGGTGAAGGTTGATCCATAGGAGAGTTCACACTTGAAGACCATTAGGCCTTTAACTAGGTCCATGATTAGGAGGCTAGAAAAGACTTCTATAGAGGAGGTGCTTCTTAGACCCATGCTCAATACGAACATTGAGTATGATTCCTCTTTTTAGTCTCATAGTCTTTATTCCTTGTATAGTTTGAATTCTTGTACCTTGTATTTAGTAGATAATTGCATAGGTGTATTTTGCCTTTGTATTTATAAGGCACATTTTCCTTTCCTTATAGGTCACCCCTTTGGGATTTTAGGGTATGCTGTTTGGAGACTTTTGCTACAGTTGACCTTGTATTAAGGGTCATTGATTTTCATATTTTTCGTAGTAAAAGTGGGGTGACAAATAGTAAAGTGTGTAGGTGAAGCTAACAATTGAGCCTATAGTGGGCCTAGGCTAATTTTTACATATTGGGCTTGTTTTGCTCCATTTAATCCAAGGAATTGATTTAGCTAGGTCTCATCCTCATTAGATGAACCTAACTGTACCAATTCCAACATTTTTGGATTGGATTAAGTGAAGGAAAACAAGATAGTTCGCCTAGCTCTTCTAGCTTCTCCCACACACTTGGTTAACTTGTACTATAAGCTTCTAGCTTGGCTTGCTCCATAAGCTTTGAAGCTTAGTTTGTTCCACAAGCTTCCAGGTTACTAGATCGGTTAGCTTGAGTGTAAGAAGGCTAACCATGGTTCTCCTTGAACCATAGTTAGCCTAGCTTGCACCATAAGCCACCTCCTCACTATATAAGTCTTTTCCTTCACTTTGTAAACACTTTTGATGCATATATTGAGAGAATTTCGAAAATTGTTCAGATTTTCTCTCTTCCAAAAGTCTCAACCTCTTTGATTTTAATCCATTTCTCTTATCCTCTTCATACAAGAGTGTGGTGAGATTTGAAGTGGCTAATCTTTCTCCAAGGAGTGGCGCCACTTGAGAGTGTTCTTCACCATTGAAGGTGAAATCTGAAGCTTCTTTGTCCATTGGTAGCTTTGGAGAAGCTTAAGGAGAACCAAGAAGTCAAGTGTAGGGAGAAGCTGGAAGAGGAATCAACATAAATCTGGTTCCAAACCAAGTTTCCATCATAAGCTCTTTAGAGATCCTCACTAAGTGACACTACCCTTTTTTAACGAAGAAAATGCTCCGTGACTTTCCTTATTAAGAGGGATTTTGGCTCTTCGGGAGCCAAACCCTTCTAGAGCTTCTTGTTGGGCGATCAAAAGCTCATTAAGCTATGAATACTTTTATAGGTTGATGGAAGTACTTGGAGAGGATTGATATTCTTCCAAGCTTTCCATGCAAGGACCGAAATGCTCCATGAGGTTGAACTCCTTGAAGGTGGCGGAATCACCTTAGAGGATTCTCCAATGGTGGAGAAGCACCTAAGAGAGGTTCGGTTACCTCTTGAAGAAGTGAAGAAACTTGAGAAACCAAGCTTCTAGGAGAAGGAACCTTGAGAGAGAACCTAAGAGAAGGTTTCTCACGAATTTTGACTCTTGAAAATGAGAGAGAGTTCTGAATTCTTTTTCTCATAAATGTCCAAAAGTGAATACAAGAGAAGGTTTTACAAATATATAGGGAGAGGTAGCTTCTAGGAGAAGCTAACCTTAACCATGGTTCACTAGGAACCATGGTAAGGTGAAGCTAACCATCCATGGTTTCTAAAACTTGTAGGAGAAGCTATCCTTGACCATGGTTCACTTAAGAACCATGGTAAGGTCAACCTAACTTACAATGGTTTAGAAACTTGGAGGATAAGCTTCAAAAACTCAAGAATGTACATGGAAATTTCGGCCAAAGAGAAATGAAGGAGCTAGGCGGCCTTGGCTTATTTTTCTCCTTTGATTTGTTTCAAAAATTATTGATTTGGTTTAGTTAGGTTCATCAAATGATGATGAGACCTAGCTAAATCAAATCTATGAAAAATTAGGAGAAAAATGAGTCCAATATGCAAAATTTTGCCTAGGCCCAACTCAGGCCTAATTTCTAAGTACACTCCCTAGCTTTGCTAAATGTCACCCCTTTTTCTCTACTGAAAAATACAAAATGAATGTATCAACTAGGGAGGTTAAATGGAGTTAAACTCTCCAAGTAACCCACCCTAAAATCAATATACAATCACTAGTTAAAAGCAAGTAAAGTGTCTTACAAATACAAAGGCAAAAATAAGCCTATACAAAGAGACTACTATATGTACAAACATATGAAAGGTCTTTAATATCATCCCATTCCTCTTGGTTCTTTTAAGATATCATCTCTTGGATTCCTTGGCCTTGGCCATAGTCTATCATAGGTCCTCTTGTTGGGTGGCCATATCTTGTTAGGAAATCAAGATCCTCTGTGGGACCTGTTGTCGGACACGATATGTCTCGCTGGTCGAGCTTAGCAATATAATTGTTATCTCGCTAGATCACACATCAATAGTTGAGCGAGATCATAATTCTAGGTAGGTGTTCATTAGATCATAAATGATAGTTGGGCGCCATGAACTCTTTTTAGGCAAAAATAGGGTTTTCACACACAAAATCCAACTTTTCACTTAAAATCCTCTCATTATACATCATAATTCATCCATGCAATTCAAAATTCATCATCTACTTATATCATACAACTTATAAATTGAAATAATTATGACATGCAACAACAATACCACAAGATCATCAATTCTTCTTCCAACACCAAGAAAAAACCCAAGAATATAAAACATCAAGGCTCAAGCCTTTCCAATTCAATATTTTAGAGAAAAGAGAGACACTAGAATAACGGTTGAATAGTGTCTATGAAAAAATCAAAACCTTTTTGAAATAGTGAAATAGTAACAAGATCATAAGAAAGCAGACATAAAGTAAAGTAAGAAGAGCACACTAAGTTTTTATATTGATTCATCTCGATCATTGAGACTACGTTCAGCTCTTGATCAACCCGATCAAGTTCCATTATATTTTACAAAGATACAAGTATGCTTTTATAAGTCACTTTTAGTTCAACCAAGTGTTCTTTTACATTCAAGCCTTTTCAAACTCAAAGCAATAACACAAAGTTAAAGTTGGATAAGCTAACAATGTTGTTTCGTTATACTATTAAGACATGATACAACCAATTAAGTACAAGACTTATAAAGAAATGTACAATGATGTTCATGTCAAATCTATCTATTTTCTTTCTTTTGAATCTTCAAGTTTCTTTATATAGGTGGTGCATGAAGGTGACCGTTACAAATCCTTAAACGTCTCTCACAAACTTGCTTCATTTGTCTTCATTTTCATTCGATGTAGAGAAAAGAGTTTGTTGGTGCATTAAATGCATTTCACCAAATTATCACTTCTTATTTAATCAAAGAAGCTACTTATCACCTTTTAGGTACCAAAACAGAGGAACCATGCGTGTGCTAGTTCTAAGCATCTTTTCCTGTAGTTTTTTATGCTTTACAAGATATGCTAGTTCCTTTCTAATGCAAAACATACCTTTAGTTCCTTTAGTGAATTGTTAGTATCAAAGAAACTTTTCATTCAATCTATTAAGGAATTATGTAGACAAAGATAATTATTGTTATTAGACATCATAAATGATATAAATACAAAACATTTGCCTTTTAGAAGAAGTGTTTCATCTATAAGACTTAATATCCTAATAACTAATCGTTTTAATATATTATATTTTCTCTATTTGTTTAAGGCTTGATTTGAAAAACTTTTTCTTTAATAATATGTTTATGTTTGTTATCATTAAAACATAAAGTCTGGGTCTAAGATTATCTTTTGACCTAACAAACATCAATGTCATCCAAGGCGTGATCAACACAACAAAACCAATATATTCAACACAAAAAGATTAAACTACAAGTTTTCCTTACCTCTCAAATCTTCCATAAATAAGAAATAGAAAAAGGAAATCTCGAGAACCCCAAACTTTTGTATGACGACTTCTTTTACTGATTCTTAGCTCCAAATCTCAACTCAGTTACTACTACTTTACTCTGCAAAAATATTAGAACACTTATATGAATTCATAAAAGAAAAAAGTCTATCTCTTAAGAAACTTCTCTGTAAAACTTCATTATAGATCAACTTTGATCTCAACACAAAATAACTCCAAATAATTAAACTCTTAAAAAAAATTTAATCCTTAAAGTTCTAAAAACACTAAAAACATCACATCAACATAAATCAAATAACATGCAATATATATAAAACATACAACTCATAATACTGGGTTACAAATTCAAAGTTGAAACTTAGAAATTTGAAACAAAAGGGGTTCCTCTTGTCAATATTTATAGTCCAAAATTGAAATTTGACATGGGGTTGGTTTGGTAATCAATATATTTGATTAGAGGAAAGGAGGAGATACGTATATTGCTCTCGATTAGAAAGCAGTTGAAGTTTAATTTCATTAAATTTTCGTCTATATAAGTGTGAACTCTAAATTTAGCTCATAAATTTATATATAAAGAAATTAAATTCTCCTATGAGAAAAGGATTACCATATGGACTCATTCTGTTTCCTCTCCTATATTTCCATTGTTTTAGTATATGCATTTCTACAGGTCCTCTAACCACTTAAGTGAAACTTCCAGTTGACCAAAATAACATTGACATTTATGTTTATGAGCTATGATCTCCCTTGAGTTGGTTAGTTCTACATTAGTTTTTTGACCAATCTAAGAGCAAAATTTGATGTACATCATGTTATTTAGGAATTGTTTGGGTAAATTTATCTAAAAGTACTTCTAAAAAAGCAAAATAAAAAGAAAAAATAAAATAAACTTCTCCATAAGTTAAAATTAGCTTATACATAAGTTATTCTTTAAAAGCTTTCTCTTATTACCTTCTCAAAAATCTTATTTTTAACTTATGTATAAGTTATTTTTAGCTTATAAAAAAAATTTAATTTAGTTTGGCTTTATATTTTTTCATCTAAAAATGCTTCTGGAAAGGCTTGTTCAAGCATACCCTAGGACTAAAAACAAATTGGCTGATCACAGACTATTTAGTATACTTCGACAAATTCCCTGCGCTGCATTCATGACGTCTAACACTATCAAGGCACATTTGAAACAATAAGAAACAATATACTTCCACTCATGATAGAATGGAATCCAACCTTTCAAAATGACAAGGGATCACTTCAACTACAAGTTAAGTCACTCTAATATATGCAAATCCATGTCTGTGTAAGTGAATAACAGCAGAAGCACATAACAAACTCTTGTTCTTCTTTCAATCTTAAATCTTAAACATACTTAATATTACCGGCTTTGTGGTTTATAAAGCAAAGCGGCACCATGCAGTCTTTATCACATTCCTCACATTAGAAGGTCTAGGAGGGGTGGTGTTGTTAGGACTAAAATGTTTGTTGTTAAAAGAAGCCAATGGGGATGAAGAAATGGATAGAATTGGGGAAACAATAACATGAAATCTATCTATTAACTGTTAACTTAGAGTTAGTGGCATAAATAATAGGACTGAAGCAGAAGGAATTAAATTGAGCATTCAAATTCCCCCTTGGCATCTCAATACCACATTCATCCCTTCCAAACCACACCAAACCCAATCACACCTCGGAACACACCCAGCTAGTCCCCTCTCCTCCATCCTCCCCACACCCCAACATCACATGATTCACCAACACATCTACCAAACATGCATAATAATAATAATATCTTCCACACACATAAAACTTTCTTTCTGGGTTCTTAGAGGTTCCAAATTTCTGAATCTTTCAAAGGAAAGTCATAAAAACATAATTGCTTCTTATTTAATGTGGGCATTGTCACCCGGTTACATTGTGAGATGACAAATTCTCCATTCCTTACATATTAAACAGGGCTCACAACTAACTAAAGCCCATAAAATATGTTTTTACTCTAGTTTCATAAACAATCTGCTCCACTATGAATCCCAAATCCACAATGTAAGATATTAAATTAAAGGCACCACATGAATCGCATTAACAAGACCCTGGGTTTCAACTTCCCCACTCAAGATTAACAAATTGAAAAATCAAAATCAAATCAAGATGGCAGGAATCAACCTCTCCTCTTCCATTCTTGAGTCAAAGATCTTACCATTTAACCCAGAAAAACAAAGAGAGAGAAAAAAAGTAACTCCTCATGCTCAGTTCTCCTTGTAGAATGTCTCAAAATCTTTGAAAGAAATGTTTTTTTTTTCCTCATCTGTTTCCAATTTCAATATTTGATTGGCATCAATAGCAAGTCCATGAAAGGAACAATGTAATGAAGAACTTCCTTTGTGTAACTCAACTCAGTTTATTACACATAAATGGAAATAGTACACTAGACAGCACCAAAAATATGTCTACATTCAAATACAAGAAAATAGGAATCTATTTGGACTTCTCCACATCTGTTTGAGTGGTGTTGTCAACAGTAGACCCCGTGAAATTGCGTCTTTCCTCAGAGGTAGCAGTGATAACCGGTATCCACACATCAGCTGTACCACTCAAGAGTGACTGAACCTGTGGATCTGAAGCCATTGACGTTGATACCATTTCATCAAGATCATCCAATCTTGCTGATAATTTATCCAACTCCTTGGCTATTTCCAACTAAAATGAATTAAAAAAAAAAACAGAGAGAGAATGTTATTGCATTTTGTTGAAATTATGTGTTTGATATGTTCATAAAACTTAAAGCACTAACCCTTATTTATAATAATCATAATCCTAACTAATTAAGATAATAAATCATGATAAGAAAAGAAAATACGATAAATAATCCTAGGAGATAAAAAAAAAACATAAGATAATCTAAGGTATTATAAAATCTTTTCATGTATGTTCCAACACATTTAAACAGGAATAAAAGAACTCAAGTAATGAATGGCTAAACTATAAAGAGAAAACTACCTCGTCAAGGTGCTGGGTTGACTTTGAAGGAATTTTTGTAACCTCTAATCCAAGAGTTTCAATTTTAGAACGCAGCTCAACTTCTTCTTGATTCGTTAGTGATTCCACCTACACAGTTACCATCAAACATGCATGAGTATATTATATAGCTGCGGCCAATAAGAGAGAATGTGGAGGAAGTTATGGATGGAATCCAGAGAAGCAGCATACATATGTAATATTCTTCAATATTTTTAAGCATTAGAATGTATACTTCAGTGATTTAGAAGTTTGCAATTTGTAGAAGCATGACCAAAGATATTAAAATTATGAATATAATATAATAATATAAAAAAATAAAAAAAAGTAGTCAAATATTTTTATGTTTACAAGAACAGTGGAAACAAATTAAATCTTATTATTGGAAGCAGGGGATTAAGGTCATAGTTCAACAAAATGAAGATCACAGAATGCTATACATATATTATTCTCCACCATAAAACACTGATCTTCATCTTGCTCTAGCTTGGGCCTAATAAAAGAAATTCATTTCATTACACTGTAAATGATTATGTGTAATTCACACTACAGATTCCCAATGGAGAAATCCAGAACTCCATAGTTTTCACAAAAAGCCTCTAGATTTTTCTTTTGTTGGGTACAGTATCCTCACTGGAGGGTCATATCATGGGTAACAACTCTAGAAACAGCCTTTCCTTTTGAAAGGGTAAGGTGGTGTGCATTTACACTCCCTAGGCCCCAATAATTGGAACTCGTGAACTTGGTCTCCCTTTTATTTTTTGGCAGTCATAGATTTGTTTTACAGTTGAGAAGAAGAGCAATAGAAGAGCCAGTTGGAAGTGATGATAAGATGGAGAATAATCCACTAGTTAGAGTAGGAAGCAAATAAAGACTTCAAGTGAAACCATTAAAATAAATTTAATTCCAACTGGCCTCTACAAAGATTTTATTTTTGACACAACATAATGAATAATGATATTGTTTGATCCATGTTGCCAATTCCATTTAATGGGAAAAGGTTTTGGTTGTCATACAATATCCTCACTAAATAATGCTCATTCATCTCCAAATTTTGCAAACAAACATGACTCGTATCAATCATTTACTTGGTCCAAACACACTGTTTAAGGCATATATGGGTAACTTTTTATTTCCTTTGCATCATTATTATCCAAACATCATTCCTAATTGAAACATGGATAACAGCAGCTTCATGAAAAGGCATGTGATTATCTGTTATTACATGTGCAGCGATATTACAAGGGTGTACTGTATGTAATACATGATGGGCACAATGAACTACAAGGTGCATCATTGCACATAGGAGTCTAAGTGGGTATGGGATGAACCACAAACCAGTCAACCTGACCCAATTCTGTTGGTTTGGATTAATCTGGTTATATTCTACCCAACCCAATCTTCTTCCGTTCAGTTTTAAGGTAACTGGTTTTCAAACCGACAAAAATGACCCAAAAATGAAAAAATATACTGACTAAGGAAATGAGGGCTTTGTAAATCTTTCACTTTGCAGATCTCGTGGTAGTGTGCTGCTTGCAAGCAGGGGTTTGTGGCTCAACCAGTCAGTGCAAGAAAAAAGAGCCCTAAACTCGATCACCCAACCCAATTGAGATCAGGTTTATTCGGTGAGGGTTGCATACCCAAAATCCAACATGTGATGTGACTCATTTATTGATTTGAATTTCTTAACATGCCAAACCCAACCCAATCCAACTTGATTACACCTCTAAATGCATAGTCAAATTCTTGGATGCTTGAATCATGCAGCCATCACAAATATAATGAAAGCAAATAAAGACAAGAAGTGCATGCCGCTAGAAGAAGGCTGACCAAAGAAACCACTCACAAATGGAGATGGATGTGGAGCAATGAAAATTGATAGTCGCAACTTCAGGCTAGTTATCCTTTAACTCACATCAACACCCACCAAATTTTCGTTTCATTTTTTTTTCTTTTAAAAAACTCGTCAAAGTTTTGATATGATGATATCTTACTACATGTCACCAGGAGACAAAGACAATCAACCATTGATTGTCCAACTATTCATCTTACATTGCATTTATCATACAAATTCAGATCATGGCATCAGAATAACAGGAAAATTTCTTTTATGATTAATCCCCCTAATTCACACATTTTAAGCATAAGAAGCATATAAAACTATAAATGCATACAGAGGGGCAACATCAGTAATTCAGAGTTCATACAAGGACTAATCACAAACCTAACACACACTCAGAGAGATAACAAAGTATGTGCCTATGCTAGATAACAGCCTCCAGTGTGTAAAATCAAACTGAATTCAAGCCCAAAACCATAAAAAAATCGCAACAGAAACGCAATTCACAGATCTGGGAACAACAAGAAGGCAAAAAGTGAGATACCCAGATGATCAAATTCCACAAAAATGAAAAATTGAAGCTTAATTCGAAAACAGAACAACATATTGAGACGGAAAGACTTAGAGAGGGAAACGAACCTCGTGGAGGAGATTGAAGAGAAGCTGAAAGAGCTCTGCGTCGGGTTTCGCTTCCTCCGCCATGGGATTTCACCGTCTGTGAATTGGGAAACCGGTTTGTTAGTGTTGTTGCTGACGCTTTCTATGATCCCTTCCGATACTAAGTTGTAGGGTCTTTTCACACGTGTAAGGATATTCTTAGGAAATTGTCTTACTAATGTAATGTCTACCTAATTCAACATGTTTCTTTTGTAGAGATTACCAAATACCAAGGATCTTAGACCGATTTCATTAAGATTATAAAGGTCATGATATGATTTAATTAAGGCTAAAGATGTCATTCTATTTAATAAAATAAAAACTTAATTGAAAATTAAAAATAAAAGGCAAAACACCTAATTTGGTCCCTTATAATAATTAATAATTTTAATTTCGTCTCTCTATAATTTTTTGTTTCAATTTGGTCCCAAATAATTTAAAAAATGTCAATGTGAGACTTTTCGTTCAAATTTTACAAACGGTGTCAAATATAGATGACGTGGATGTCACGTAGATACATACATGACAAGTTTTCATAGTCTTTTTTTAATGGAACGACCTGTTCTGAAACCAGAACAGGTCGTTCTGATCTCACTCATTATGTGTTAATTTTGTAACTGAAACGGCTCATTCCAGATGCAAATGTAACACACAACGAGTGAATCAGAACACGCTGTTCTGGTTTAAGAACGGCCTGTTCTGGATTCAGTACGGGTCGTTCTGGAACGCCAACCAGGATTAATGTTTAAATTTAAGTGTTACATTTCAAAAAAATGTTCAACAAAACGTAGCAGTTTAAAGATTGAAAACAAAAATTAATAACATAACATAAATTCAAATATTAAAATATGCACTAGAGTTGATCTTTTCATCCTTATTTTTCATCATTGCCCATATAAATAATAAATTAATTAGGCGTATGACCTGTTACAACCCCCAAAACATGTATGAATTAAATGATCTTGGATTTTTTTCCCTTATGGTTTGAAATCCAAAGATATCATTAAATTCCTCCAAATTGAGACGATACTCTATATTAAAAAGTTTAAAGAAAATCAATCTTGGTTCACAATTTGCCCCGGTTAAAATTTCAATATGCAGAGAACTAAGATATTCAAGAACAAACCTAGGATCTGGAACGGCCCGTTCTGAAACCAGAACGACCCGTTCCGCTTGCATTCTTTGTGTGTTTTTTTTTGAATCTGGAACGGCCCGTTCTAGATGCAAAATTAACACACAAGGAATGCAAGCGAAACGGACCGTTTTGATTTCAGAACGGACCGTTCCAGATCATTAAAGAAGGGGGAGAGGATGCATGCCACCTATACATCTACGTGACATCCACGTCATCACATTTAACGCCATTTGTGAAATTTGGACAGAAAGTCCCACATTGACATTTTTAAAATTATTGGGGACTAAATTGAAATAAAAAAGTATTGAGGGACGAAATTGAAACTATTAGTTATTATAAGGGACTAAATTAGATGTTTTGCCAAAAATAAAATTAAATAGAAGGTGGAATAGGTCCGACAAATCATGGATAATGATAAACCGTTTTTGCAATTGGACCATTGTAGTACTCATTTTATATTTACCAGCTACGTAAGCTAACCTTTACATATTGAATTGAGATTAATTAGTATACACGGACGCTCTAAACTTACTTTATATATATATATATATTTAATATGACTAAAGATTTAATTACTTGTTAAATTGGACGTAGAAAAATATGTCGACTAGGCTGAACACCCGAACTGTAAAATAATTAGATCGAATACCCGAGCCCACCGACCACACATAAACGAGTAAAACGCGTCGGTGTGGTCGGCCAAGCTCAGCGCCTCTGCCAGGCTGATTATGGAGAGCTTAATTAACATAACGCATCGGATTAGTCCCCTAATTTTTTGGGGCCCAATCCTTAATCACGGCCTAATACGAACACCTATAAATAGAGCCCCAACGAGGTATGTAACTAACTTTGAACTACCGCATTTATTACGTCGAGCACTAACTTGAGCGTCGGAGTGTCTTTGCAGGCACCCCCCACCTCGTTTCGGACTACTCGGATTCGGACAAGAAGACCATAACCAGAGACCCGACCCGCTTTGCTAAGATAATTGAAGTGTGTGTCCTAACACAGGAACATTTGGCGCCCACCGTGGGGCCGAAGAGACGTTTCAGCCCCTTTTAAACTCTACGACTGAGACCGAGACATGGTAGTTACGCGCAAAGGACAATCAACAACGACTCAACCAATTCCCAACCCCTGAAAGTAATCTCGTCATGACCAACCAAGAACGTTACCCGTACGGAATGCCTCAGACCCAGCCGGAACCCGTGATACAAGAGACCCAGCCGGACACCAATCGAGCTTAGCCCAACCTCCAAGATGACATGCGCGCACTGCGCGAAGAAATGGTCGCCATCCGAAGACAAAGGGAGGCCGATGCCTGAGAGCTTGCCGAGCTGCGTAGACAAAATGCCGAGCTCAGGAGTCTAAACCAAACATACGTGTCGTCAACTCCCACTCTCCAAGAGGAGTCGGCATACCATGCCCCAACCGATCATGTGACCCGAACGCCAGTCACATCTCTAACGGGTAACAAGGCCGACGCCAGCGTTCACTCCTTAAGACACCCATTTTCACGAAGGATAATGGAAGCAACCCTACTAGATCATTGGAAGAGTCTTCCAATCGAAAAGTATGACGGATCTACCGACCCTGAAGAACACCTGAACGTATTTTTGACGCAAGAGACTCTCTCCACCCAAGACGATTCGGCTTTGTGCCGAATATTCCCTACATCGCTAAAAGGAAGAGCCCTGAGCTGGTTCACGAGATTGTCGAGCTCTTCCATCGACTCGTTCAACGAGCTGTCATCCCAATTTACTCTCTAATTCGCGACGAGCAAACCGTATAAGACGACCTCGTTAGCACTAGCGGGGGTTCATCAAGAAAAGAAAGAAAGCCTGAGGAGCTTTATGGACCGATTTAACAAAATTGCAATGGAGATTGGTGATCTTAACCCCGCCGTGGCGTTAGACCGGCTGAGCACTGCACTCAGACTAGGGTCATTCGTGAACAGCTTGTGTAAGAAGCCACCCATCGACATGAACGACCTCCGACGCCGGGCTGAAAATTACATGCAAATGGAAGAACTAGCAGAAACTCGGAACCAAGCCAGGGCCGAGGAAAACTATAACCGAAAGGAATCCGGCCGAGAACCAATGAAAAAGCCGAATGCCGAACCCTCAAATACTCGACCCCCGAGGGGACCGCGCTATACAGCGTATACCCCCCTCAATGCAAGTAGGGCAAAGGTGATGGAGCAGGCCCTCACATCGAAGATCCTTACAATGCCGAAAAGGGCGAACACACCCCCTAGAGCCGACAAAGCCAAGACGTGCCGATTCCACCGAAACAGGGGACACTCGACAAAAGAATGCTAAGTGCTGAAAGACAAATTGAAGGACCTTATCAAGCAGGGTCATCTCAGAAGCTTTGTCACCCCTCAAGCCTACCAGTCAAGAGAGAGAGAGCACCAATCTCGTGACGCTCGTCAATCGAGAGACCGACGTCACCGATCCCGATCTGCTGAGAGGCAGGATCGGACGAGGCATCCCAGAGAAGATAGCAACCGACCATGGAAGGTGATCAACACAATTTCCGGAGGTTTCGCCGGGGGCGGATCCACCTCTTCTGCATGAAAGTGACACCTTCGTGCTGTCCGATCAGTTAATAATGTGAATCAGCCCAAACTGCCGAGAATGCCGCCCATAACCTTCTCCGACCGGGATTTTCGTGGGATCGATCCCGTCCAAGACGACCCCATGGTGATTTCGGTCGAAATGCACAACTGCATTGTAAAGAAAACACTAGTTGATCAGGGGAGCTTAGCCGACATATTATATTGGAACACTTTCGTGCAGTTGGAAATCCCGGAAGAAAGTCTTGAACCGTATCATGAGCCGCTAGTAGGATTTTCCGGCGAAAGGGTGATGACGAGAGGTGATGGAACTAGTTGAAGTAGATTGATGTTTCTTCAAGAGTTCCATGCTAAGGACCGAAATGCCTTGAGGTTTACTCCTTAAGAACTCTGGATTCACCTTTGAAGAAGCTTCAAAGGAGGAGAAGTTCATGAAGAGGTTCGGCCACTTCCTAAATCTTGTGAAGGAAGCTTGAGGAACCAAGCAAAGTTTGAAGAACTTTGCTAGAAACCTAGAGAGAATTGTTCTCACGGTTTTGATGACTCTTGATTGAGAGAAAATTCAGAGGTTTATTTCTCATAAATGTCAAAAGTGAGTACAAGTGTAGGAAAAACAAATATATAGGGGAGGGTAGCTTGTAGGAGAAGTTATCCTTAACCATGGTTCACTAGGAACCATGGTATGGTTAACTTAAACTCCCACGGTTTAGCTAGCTTGTAGGAGAAGCTAATCCTTGACCATGGTTCAATTAAGAACCATGGTAAGGTAAGCTAACCTTGCTTGAGTTTAGAAGCTTGCAAGACAAGCTTCAAACTCAAGAAGGAATGCTTGAGAAATTCGGCCAAAGGAGAAGGAATAAGCTAGGCGGCCCTTGGTTCAAATGCTCCATGAATTAATTTTGAAAATCTTTGATTTGGTTTAGTTAGGTTCATCATTTGATGATAAAACCTAGCTAAATCAAATCTATGAAAAATTAGGAGCAAAATGAGTCCAATATGCAAAATTTTGCCTAGGCCCAACTCAGGCCCAATTTCTAAGCACACCCTCAAACATTGCTAAATGTCACCCCCTTTTCCCTACTGAAAAAATATAAAATGAATGTATCATCTAGGGAGGTTAAATGGAGTTAAACTCTCCAAGTAACCCACCCTAAAAACATTATACAATCACTAATAAAAGCAAGTAAAGTGCCTCACAAATACAAAGGCAAAAATAACCTATACAAAAGACTATGCATAAACTGTACAATATAAACAAATAGAACTAAGGCCTTCTCTTCATGATAGAGCATTCCAAGTGAAGATTATCTTGGGCCTGACAAGCCCATTAGTCTTCTCAAGATCCAGCTCTTCCTGTATCTTCCTAGCCATAGCTCTGGTCACTGGGCCCTTGGCCCATGGTCTATCATCCCCTCCTTCTTGAGAAGGATTTGTCCTC